GGCCTTCGGTCGCCTCCATTGCTGGGTGTCCCGAGTGACGTGTACATTGTACTCTGAAAAGAGACAGTCTAAAATTCGCCATCAGGCGATTGAAATGACTTGCCGATTTTTGATATCTTTCGAGACTCAGTGGATCGCAGAATCTTAATCTGAACCTTCAATATCAAACTCTAGCAGAAAATTAGACCAAACAAATGATGACAGATTAGTATGTCCTCCAAGACGACAAATCGATCACAGCGATCAACTTTTTAGCTGCAGCCACGAGGTGTCAAAAGACTCTAGTCCCCACAACGCAGTAAAGTTCGATTCCTGCTATTAGCGGTTCTGATCGCCACGATCAACCCGTCGGCTGTCGCAACTAACCTGCTGCAGCTATGCCGCTTGGTTGTCACAATCAGAAAGTCGATAGTCCTGGTATCTACCGAGAGAAATGGTCGTAGCGATCGACTTTTGGTTGCCACAACCGACCATTTTTTTCCGTGCAGCTTCTGCAGGTGGCGGGCGGGGCGCGGCGCCAGGACCAGACCTCCCTAAGTGTAAGGGGGCCTGCAGGGCGTGCAGCTGCAGCTGCTGCAGGTGGCGGCGGGGCGGGCCAGCGCGCCAGCTGGGAGGGTCGCTGGTGCGGCGGCAGCGGGCTGGGCGGCTGGGCGTGGCGCTTGGACCAGCTGTGTGTATCGACCCGACTAGCTCGGCTGGCTCCGCTGGCGCTGTGGCTGTGGGCACCGCGCGGCCCGCTCCACCGCGACCCCCCGGCCGAGCCCAGCGCCTGGCCTCGCCCCCCAGCGCACCAGTGCGAGTGGTCAGGACACACGCCGCTCGTCTGCAACTCTCTGTCGTCTACAACATACGAGCCGAGTGTTCACCGCCGAGCGGTCGTCTTAGAGGCGCCGGAGCCCGAGAGTGCGGCGGCGCCACAGACGGGGCGCCGGAAGTCGTTGCGGAAGCCAGACACGAACCACCAACAGTGCCGCCGATAATTGGCAGCCCGTTGTGCCCAGGTGGAGAGGCACCGCTCATGCCTAGCAATGCTCACCGGCCCGCCCCCTCAGCCTCCGGGGCGGGGCGGGGCGAGCGGGGCGGGGCGCTACTCAGCCTAACACAGCCCCGAGGAGCATTCCAACATGCCTCCCTTCCCGGGGCCCGTCCCCCTCCCTCCCCCTTACGCTCTCCGCTCTCCAGGGAACGGGCGGGGAGGAGGAAGCAGCTCACCTTCCCTCGTGATAAATCTTGTGCGAGGCGAGTGGCGTGGCGGGGCGTGGCGGGGCGCGGCTATGGGTCCGGGGCCTGCAGGGTGCACCAACTATTTCACGACTTCCTCCACCGTCGGAGCC